AAACATGGCTCCAAAGTATATTTATTAAGTACCACTGAGCTGACTAGTTTTTTACCTGACTTGACCAGACTGGGTTTGACCGAAGAAAGCTCTACAAAACAGCTCTATTCAAGCCGAAGTCACAAAGGATTAGCTAATCCCATGAATGAACTAAAATATTAGTTTCACGTAGTCCACCACAACGATTGGTTAGGTAGGAATTTCGCCTTTTACAACATTAATCACGTTCGAAAAGCTCAGGTACTCGCAGAATGAAAATCATGAATTTGGTAGGTGGTACTTCCACACTACATACCTGAGTTTTTTAGACATAAAGAACAAGCTGACATATGATTCGTCCCAGTACTGCAGTGTTAATTCTGCGACAGATTAATAATATATTAGTGAATACAAAAAAACAGTTTTCCCTACTGATTTTTAATAAATGCTGAGGAATAAAACTACCGTGTTCTTTTGGTTTCAGCGTTTCAACTTCTTCCTTTTTCCACTCTTGTATCACATCATCATCACTACCTAGTACAGGTAAATACAAATTGTATTGCAATAATCGGGCAGAAACGCATGCATGTAAGTCATTGTGCTATTTTTCAATGCAATGAGTAAAAAAAAAAAAAGTTTAAAATGTATACCTGGAAGTTTTTCAGTGAGTTCCTCAAGCTTTGCACTTACATCATGTAGATGGGTTTCTGCCCTAGCAAACTTTGCTTTTAGAGTAACACCTGTGAACATTGAAAGGAATCAGTTTAATGACTGTGCTAATAAAAGTAATCAACCTCGACTTACATCTTAACACACGTCCCCATTGAAAAAATGAAAAATTGCAACTACAACAGAAAACACAGGGTAGATAAAGCTGTCCAGCTAAAAGTTCTGGTCAATAGTTGATATCTTTTACTTTTCAGCAAAACCTACAGAAACGTGAAAGTTATGTGTTCAATAAAATTAACCATACCAAATGTTGGGGAGTGAAGAAGCCCATCAGTCAAAACATCTGTCGTCTTGTGAGCACTCATTTCTTTAGTGACAGAGGAAAACCTACGCAGAAAGGACCATAACCTTTCCACCCCTTCACCATCTGTCAATCCAGTTCCCTTGATCCTTCTTGGACTGTATTGGATCTACAGACAATCACATTGAAGATAAACCTAAGAATCAATATGGCATGGACCTTGCATGAGATAGTTCGCCAATACATGTACTAGCCTGCAGTGCAGGCAGATTTTAGCAGTGTGAATGATATAACGATT